ACACACACACACCCACACACACACACACCTATACCCACACACCGACCATCCCCCCACCACACATACACACACACACACACACACTCCGCACCACACGCACACACACACACATACACATACCCACACACACACACACACACACACACCCACACACACATCCACCCACACACCGTACAGGAGTGGCCCAGGCCCAGCTACAACAGCAGCAAGTGGCGGCCTCCGCAGTCATCTCCAGCACGGCTGCTCATGGCAACAACACCACCACAGCTTCCATCGCCTCTCTCGCTACCAACAACAACAACAACAACAACAACAACAACAGCAGTAGTGGCAACAGCATTCTGGACAACAACAACAGCAGCAACAACAACAACAATAGCAGTCTGACAGGGGTGGCGGGCAGCGCTCAGGGTTTGAAAGCCCAGCCCCCTGTGTCCTTACCGTACGCTATCCACATCAACTTGACCAGCTCGGGCCAGGTGAAGCTGCCTCCACAGCTGCAGCCAATCACAACGTCCACCTCGGCCGCCGGAACCACGGCCACCTCCAAGCCCTCAGCCATGCCGCCGCTTCAGATCCCGGCCCAGCTGTTGCTCAACGCGGCCGCCACATCGGCAGGAGTCATCTCCGCGGGGGAGAAGTTGGTCACCGCCGTCAAATCGGAGGCGGGCACGGTCGGCCAGACGTGGATCAAGTCGGAGCCGATGGTGGTCACTCAGGCAATGGGTGAGTGCCTTTGTGTGATTGTTTATTTGTGGTTAGAGTTTTACGGCACTCACAACTGCATCAGGTCATATGAGCGCTCGACTTGTGTGACTGTTTTGGTAAGAGTTTTACGGCGCTCACAACTTTATGGCACTCACAACTGCGTCAGGTCATATGAGCGCTCGACTTGTGCAACAGTTGTTTTTTTAAAGAGATTTACTGCGCTCGCGAGTGCGCACAGTCATATGAGCGCGCGACTTGTGCTACAGTTTTTGTTTTGGTAAGAGTTTTACGGCGCTCACAACTGCACTTCAGTCCCTCAGGAGGTCGTCAGACTCAACTTACACAAAAATAGTTGAAAACTGAACTGGATAAACATTCAAGAAGTAGTTGAAAGTGGATCCCCTTTTTTAGACAATGATATAATGATGAGAAGTAAAACGAACAAAAGTTATGATGAAAAATATTCAAGACATGCTAATTTTTGCTCTTATTTCAATTTGTCAGAGCTGGATGTTTGGCATTATTTTTCGGCTACAAGTTTGTTTATGTTTGAAGAAACGTTCTGTGTTATGGAGAGTCTTGGGATGAGTTACCTGAAAATTCTCTCACGGACTGGAGATGGATATTATAATTGTTCATTAGGCAAGATTGTGCCCGCAGGCTAGTGCTGGGCGGCCAGATTCCCGGTTATTGAAAGCCGAGAATCGTAGGAATCGACTCTTTCTTCTTCTCAAAGAGAAAGTTAGAAGATGGATGTTTGACGGGGGGACTCTGGTGTGGTTTGCTCCTTCTGTCCTATCAGACATTCCTCATTCTTATCTCTCCTCCTTCTTTTCTTTGTATGTTACTCTCTGGTAACACCTCTAATCTTCGGTACTTATATCACCAGATTTTTATTGCTGATGTGGCCAAACTCAAAATGAAACTTAAAAATTTGAAGTAAAAATACTTATGTGCCAAGAATGGCTTATGGTGTGTGTATTTTTTAAAAAGACATTTCTTGGTCTGAATGTTGTACCATGTCTGTGCCCCCAGGCCCCCCATCCAGCACCTGTGTGCCCAAGTCACAGGTGACCACCGGTCAACCTTTCGTGTTCACAGCCACCCCTGCATCTACCAGCGTGGTGCCAGGCCACACCAATGGTTTGATAGCCAGGTAAGCCAGGATGTTACTCATCATCATCTAGTGCCAAATCTGCGACCGACATCGGCGATCATGGTTCTCCATTCATTCCTTTGCTCGGAGGCTCTCAAAAAAGCTACGTTTCCCTGATCTTTCCCTGTTACCCATTTGTTTAGGTTCCTTAAGTATGTTGTTCTGGGCCTACCCCTGCCTCGCTTGCCCTCAATTTTGCCAGTGAGAGCTACTATGGTCTGGTTTTTTGTTTTTTCCTTTTCTCTTTTGATGAGGGGAAGTCTTAGTATTGTGTTGGTCTTAACAGTGAGGAGTGAGCTGAAATGAGCGTGAAATGTGCAATTTGTTTGTACTTACGTGCTGAGAAGGGTATCTACTGCCAGCTGTTAAATGTACTAATGTGGACACATGTGTTGTACTAATGTGGACACATGTGTTGTAGTAATATGGACGCGTTGTGTTAATGTGGGCGCGTCGTACTAGTGATGACAACATGTGTTGTACTGATGTAGACACACGTGTTGTACCAGTGTAGACTCATCTTACTTGCATGGACACACGTGTTGTACCGATGTGGATACACATGTTGTTCCAATGTGGACGCATGTGTTGTACCAATGTGGACACACGTGTTGTACTAACGTGGCCGTGTTTGTCCTCTTGTCTCCCCAGGACGTCCTCTCTGCCCAGCTCCCCGATGGAGACAAGTCAGAAGCTGGGCGTGAGCCGCTGCTCCTCCAACCCGTTCTTCCCGTCACCCATGAAGGAGCCGCCACGCTACGACGAGGCCATCAAGATCAAACATCACCAGACCGTAAGTCTCCGGGTTCTTCTGCAGAGCTTTTGATCAGAAGAACACTTACTGTTACTTTTTCCTTGATCAGAAGAACACTTACTGTTACTTTTTCCTTGATCAGAAGAACACTTACTGTTACTTTTTCCTTGACCAGAAGAACTCTTACTTTTACTTTTCAAAATAAAAATAAAAATTCTTGTCAATGTGAAGTGTGCTGACAAAATGAGTTACTTCTCATTTTTGAGCCCAATGGAAATAGATACATCACCCCTATAGGTGAAGTTTTTACAAATGTTTAAAAATATGAAATAATAAAAGGCATGATAAACTGAAAATATAACATCAATTGAAAATCTGTAAATTTGACCCTAGAGTAGATTTATTGCCAATAGGCATGATAAACTGAAAATATAACATCAATTGAAAATCTGTAAATTTGACCCTAGAGTAGATTTATTGCCAATAGGCATGATAAACTGAAAATATAACATCAATTGAAAATCTGTAAATTTGACCCTAGAGTAGATTTATTGCCAATAGGCATGATAAACTGAAAATATAACATCAATTGAAAATCTGTAAATTTGACCCTAGAGTAGATTTATTGCCAATACATGTATCTCCATTTGTGGATTGCGAGGAGTAACTCATGTTGTCAGCACACCTCTCAAATGTAGTTTTGTCCTGCTACCTACAGTTGCCGATGTGATTTCATCGTTTCATCAACCGGTGTGTTATAAATGTTCATGCCTGGATTGTTTACTTCGCAGACTCCCTCGATATCTGGCACTGGCAAGAGGTCCAAGTCTCCGGCTACCAGCACAACCAACAGCAACAACAACAACAACAGCACGGGGAACGGTAGCACGGTGAGAGGCCTCAATAAATCGGCGGTGACCCTGCGTGGCGTTGACGTGGACATCAAGTCACAGACCATGGATGACGTCCTGGAGATTCTCATCCGCAACGGAGGTGCGTCTTTTGGGGGAAAGTCCATCAGATTAAAAAATAAAATTCAACTTTTCTTCTTTCTTCCTCATCTTCTTCTTCTTCTTTCTTCTTCTTCTTCTTCTTTTTCTTCTTCTTCTTCCTTCTTCTACCTTCGCCTTCTTCTTCTTCTTCTTCTTCTTCTTCTTCTTCTTTTTCTTCTTCCTCTTCCTCTTCCTCTTCTTCTTCTTCTTCCTTCTTCTCCTCCTCCTCCTCCTCCTCCTTCTCCTCTTCCTCCTCCTCCTCAATCACATCCCACTTGAAGTCCAGTACCTGTCATATACTGGGATGTCCTGCTGATTTCTTCTGTCAGCCCAAGTGACTCCTCCTGTAGTGTCAATGGGGTTGGCCATGTGTCCACTTTTACTGATCCCTGCGAGGAAGTTTGGTTTACAGTGTTATTACCTTCATAAATATGTTACATAAATACTCAGATAAACATATACTGGTGAATGGTTGGTGGGTGCTCTGGTTTGGTTTGCTCCTTCTTTCCTATAAAAATTCTATCGTCCTTATCTCCCCTCCTTTTTTATGTTTGTTACCCTCTTTTAACACCTCTAATCTTCTGGCGCTCATATGGCCTTATGCAGTTGCGAGCGCCGTAAAACCTCTACTAAAACCAAGACGCAATAAGTAAGAATCTCAGTAGTGTAATTCAGTTGACAATGATGTATGATCTCGCCCCTGTACTATGCTTGTGTCTGTCTGTGTTTTCAGAGTTGCCCCCCTGCGCAGCCACCCAAGCGTTGCCGCCGCCTAAATGTACCCAGACCCCGGACAGCTCAGGCACCACGTCTATGCCGTCCTCCACCAGCCCAGCGACTGTCACGTCAGGTCCTGCCCTGGTCATGTCCACCATGTGTAGCCCAGGACAGCCACAGCAGCAGCAGACAGCACTGTCGCTGTTACAGAGCTCAAGCCCTCACGGTTCCCCAGCGTCTACCTCTCAGCAGCCGGGCCTCAGCAGTAGTGTGGGGAGCAACTTCAGCGGCAGCGCTGGGAGTCCGCGGGACCACGCCCTGGCAGCGCTCCACGCCCCGACCACCATCATGTTCCCCGACACCTTCCTCAGCGAGACCCAGCAGCCACATCCCTCCTCCCCCTCCTCCTCCTCAGCAACGGACCTCGGAACCCCTTCCACCTCAGCTGCTCTCAGCCTCAACGAAGGGACCTCGCATGGGGATGCCAGCGAGCTGCTTGACTGGAGCACCATGCTGCCCTCCCCCGATCTCTCTCAGATGGACTGGTCCCACGACCCGGGCTTTGGCCATTTGGATCTCGGCGATCCAGGTCTCAGTTTAGACTCGAAAATGTCGGACGCTTTCGCCCCGAGCGCTGGTCCGTCCGGCTCAGGAGCGGGGGGCTTCGGCACCGGGTTTGGCCTTGAGCAGATGGCGTGTCTGCCCCCGGCCAATGGCTCGGCCTCCACAGCTCCGGGCAGCAGCAACAACAGCACGGGTCTCCGCACGCCCAGCGTTCACGGGTCGGAGCCCGACTTGACGGCCTTAGGGCTGGGCGGAGACTCGAGCGAAGCCGTGGACCCCGCCACACAGATGGACATGTCGGACTGGCTGGACGTTATCATGCCAAACGCCAGTTTCGCCAGCGTCTCCACGCCCATGACCTTTAATCCGGCCTCCAGTTCCAGCAGCGGTGGCGGCCATTACAGCCACACCACGGACCCTATCTTGACCCCGCGCACGCAGCAGGAGGTCTTTGACATTTTCAACTTCGATGACCCGGACTTTGGGCCTTCAGCCATGAGTTGGGACAAGGTAGTGGAACAGGGAACATCCAGCTAGCAGTTCCCCGCACACCTAGACAATGTTCAACGTCGCTCTTGGAACGTTTTTGCTTGACATTAGACTTGACTTGCACAGTTAATGGAATGTTTGTCTTTGTCATGGTTATAAGATACTGCCTTTCGCCACCCAAAGTTCCCCTTTTCCTGTCGAGACCGTGTTTTGAAATAGAGGCTAGTTTTGCTCTCTCTTCGAGTATTAAAGAATGTCTTTCATCTCAGTGTCCTGATGGGGGGCACTGGTCTTAAGATTTCTCTGGAAGTTCAATATATCAGATTGTCTTGTCGATATATCTCGCTGTCTTGATCTGCCACAAGTCTGAAGCTCTGCGTTCTCTGTCGATAATACTCTTCCCGTTTGGTCGAAATTTGCAGAAGTAATGTACATCTTTTTAGATTGTACGAGATATAACACTTTGCAGAAGGACAGTTTTTGCAATCCAATTTTGCTGAGAAATTATTCTAATGAACACTGTCATCTTTCGTGTCCTTGTGATAATTTGTCAACCAGTGAAAACATTTTTGACAAATTATAACCTGGGTTGAAAAGGGAAGTTTTCGCATGGCTTCTAATCTTTGGAGGGAAGAAAATGTATTCTTGGTTACTGTCCTGAGATTTTTTCCCTTGGGTCTTGTTAGCTTTGTGCTTTGCTGGGTTTGAATTTGATTCAAAATGAAAGTATCTTGGGAGGGGAAGACAGAGTCAGATGGAACCTCTCATTTTGTTTTCTTCTACCGAGATCTTACTTAATTTTCTTCTCTTAACTAACATTTCTTTGAATCCTGAACTGTGTTTTATTCATTCAAAGGGCTAATTTCTCCTACCTTTGCCATAATGTGGGACTACTTCATCGCTTCATTCTCACTACTCATCTTCTTCACAAGCCTTGAACTTCCTCCTCCCACCCCTACCCTCCCCCCTCCTCCCCACCCTCACTTCCTTTCCCACCACCTTCCTCCCACCCCATCTTTGACCAAATCTGTGATTTTTCCAGTTGGACCAAGTGCCTGTTTTTCCCTGTGTACAATCAACTATGACAATTCTTTATCTAATGCCAAGAACTGGTGTGTCAGCCCCTCGGCTCGGGCACGCACGCACTCTGAGGACACGGATGTGCTGGTCACGACACAACACACGTGCAGTTTATTAGTGCTTCTGGACAACACGTGTAGTTGACAGATTCTGCCGGCGTGATGCTGGCCTGAGCTGAATTCAGATTCGGTGACAAGTTTTATTTTTAGATTTTGATTATTGGAACTGATGACGGTATGTGCTGTGGCTGAGTCGCCTGAGCTGGGCGGTGCCGCGTGTCGGAGCACGCACATGAGCACACGCTTGGATGTTCTAAGCAGTGGCACGTGTTGACAGTCCTGTACACCGACTGCTGTGTGTGCTAAATCTTGTGAATACATGTTGGGCAGGAAATGTTGGCAAAAGGGGATGTGGTTCCTGCTGCAGTGCATAAAAAAAAAACAAGCTGTTGTATTTTTGATGGGATGTTGGGGGTGTTTTGTTTTGTTTTGTTATGGCGGGAAGGGGGAGTAATTGTTTTACATGGTTGAGAATACAAAATTCTAATGAGACTGTAGCATTTACATCAGTGTAAATCGTGCTTCAGTTAACTGCATCTGAAGTCATGCTGGTGAATTGTTGGAGATTTATGATGATGATGCGTTTCTCCATCGTTTGCACACACAGGGCCACATCTGCCTTTGTTTTTTCTGTCAAGGTGTCATGCCGTCCCGACACTGGGATGGGGGTTCTATTTCCCGCCAGTCTGTCCGGTATGCGCTCTTTGTCGGTCAGTGCAGCACACGACCATGTTTGCATTTATGTTGTCATAATGAAAATAATAAAGGAGGCGGGGTTCAGCTCACAGAAAAGAAAAAAAAGACTGACGTTGTTAAATGTTCGGATTGTCATTTTGTGAAACATGTCTTCTTGGGTTCATGAATTGTTCAATTCATGAAGGATGTTGAAATTAGAGAATTGTTAGTTGGCTTTCTGAGAGTGTTTCTTCGGGCAGATTTTCTTGTTTTCAGAACTCTAACTTTCATTTTGTACTTTTATCTATGTATGTTTGAAATAACAAGTGTTTCTCTTTTTATGAAAATACTTGAAAAAGGTTCTTGCTGCAGTTTTTCTTTGTAAAGATGAACACAATCATTTTGTTTTTGATCACACACCCAGCTTAAGAAGTGGTAATGTAATATGATGACGTGTGCTTTGTTATTAAGCATGTTTAGATTTTGTTGATATGCAGTCGAATCAATTGAATTTGCAGTGATAGACTTAACCTATGCCGCATTCTATTATAATGTGAAACTGATCAAAATCTGTGTTGGTGGAGTGGATGAATATGTGGCATTGTCTTGTGATAAAGTGCTCATGCTGTATCTTTCAATTGGTGTTTAGACGTTTGTTTTCTAGGTTTGCCTTTCGATTGACTGACGTAGGTCGGTGGTGAGTGAGTGGAAAGGCTATGGGGGCGTCTATAGTGTCAGCATAATAACATGTGTGCCAAGTGGTAGGTAGTGCTAGAGCTGTGACTGTGACCTGTAAGCTTGACCAAGGGTTATTTGTGTCGTGTGACAAAGACCAGGGAGCAAGGTTACATGAGAAAATTATGTGGCAACGAGGTGAAATCAAGCACTCGTCAAAATAGTGACATCAAAGAAACAGGAATTTTTCCCTCAGTTTCGTAATTTTTATCGAATTTTTGTTTTTTTGTCTCAATACCTTTAATGTCCATATAAAGACACATTTGCATGTGAATTTTACTGAAATACATTGATATATGGCACAAACTATGTTGTTTTTCAATTTCCTAGGACTCTCAAGCTATTGAAGTTACCAAACTTTGGTGGCCATTTTCTCACTCATTTTACCACTGAAACCAGGCAACCCCATCTCCTTCTATTTGCAAATGTGTCAATTTCAATTCATGATAGATGGGTGTTTTTGTCATCGAAAGCATGGCAAATGAATAGCTTTTAGATGTACCAAAATCTCCACTTGCCCACAAATTGACGAGCGCCTGATTCCACCGCCCATGACACCATTGTTCAGTATGCAAGAGTGCTTAAATGTTCAAGGCATTTTGTAAATGTTCGAAAGTGTAAGACAACTTTCAGAAATGCTCATTTTGACGAATAATGGCAAAAATTTACCACTTTGTACCAATTACGTAAATTCAATAAAATTATTTACATAAGATGAGAAAAATTTAAGCTTTGCTGTCTATGATATGATTTCTGAAATACCTTGTTTTTTTATAATCTATGACAATAGAAAAAATTCTATTTTCTACTTCATCATCATAATCAAGTGAAGAATCTGAATGACAGCTTGTACGTAGCTAAGGGATTTTAGCAATGACGGTGTGAATGACGAAATGTGTCCTTTTGTCTATGAGCAGTGTTTGTGTATTGTACCTATTTAGTCGAGCGGGTGTACGTTGGCCTGCGCGGACTATTTAGCCGTGTTCAAGAACCAGTTTGCCGTTTCTTGTTGCGTCTTCCTCAGACTGTTCCTGTCCGTGGAACTTTTGACTGTCGTTTGCTGTGCGATATCTCACTCTGTGCTGACCAAATCTGACCAAAGATAGACATGATGTTGAACAAGAACAAAACAAACTCTAAAGATTGTGAAATCTGATGCACGGGGGGGGTTGTTCCCCTAAATTTCAGTTGTTGGGGAAAAACAAGTTTGGGAAGAATGAGGATGTGTATCTGTTGTTGCTGTTATCCTTTTGTCGTATATATATATACATGTGCCCGGGAAACAAACAAAAAAACAACAAGTATTACATATGTAAATAACTGCTGTATGCCTCTTTCTCCCGCCTCCATTTTTTGTGTGTGTGATTTGCTTTTTTTGCAGTGAGTATTTTTGTTGATATATTGTGAATAAATACACTTTGTTTCTACTGTTGAGAGAGAAGGGTGTCGCAGCCAGTGTCGGCGGCGTCTCCGAAGG